CCATACTTTTACTTAGAGGATTTTACTTTTTCCCATACCTGCACGGCGAATGAGAACGACTCAAATTTGAGTTTAGTTCACTCATAATCGCCAAAAGTGCAGGAGCTCAGCGATGAGTTAATTTGCCTCATGTTTTCCCAGGTTTTTCCAGGATTTTCCAGGGAAAAATTCCCGAATTTGAGAAAAGTAAAGTTGGATTCACTCAGTCTATTGGTATTACTCCGAGACTGAATAAAATTTTCGTCAATTTCCTCATTTTCGGGCAGATTTTTTAAGTTTTCTACAGGAAACCATGAGACAAATTTTACTCATCGCTGAGTTCCTGTACTTTTGGCGATTATGAGTGAACTAAACTCAAATTTGAGTTGTTCTCATTCGCCGTGTTCCACACCTATAAAGCTTTTTGATGTTTAATCGGCGCACACTACTGCACCATTTAAATCGAACGAGTACGAGCAAGAGGGAAAAAGATTACACTGGAGTCGCTTTTTACGCGGTTTTTTTTTTACACGGTTTTTTTTACGCGGATTTCGGAATTTACGCGGTTTTTTTTTTACGCGGATTTTGGTTTTTTTTACGCGGATTTCAGAATTGACGCGGTATATCTTTATACACTAGAGTCGCTTTTTACGCGGTTTTTTTTTACACGGTCTTTTTTTACGCGGATTTCGGAATTTACGCGGTTTTTTTTACGCGGATTCCGGAATTTACGGGGTTTTTCTTTACGCGGTTTTTTTTACGCGGGACGTATCACCCGCGTAAAAAGCGACTCCAGTGTAGTGGGAAAACAAACCGTCCATTGATCTATGTGTGCTAGATAGAGAAAGACGATTAAACGTCAAAAGGTCTTTGATTTGTTTTCCATCGATCTTGTTTTTCGTGCTGAGCACCAATGCTACCGACGCCAGCTCCCACACCCAGGAAATAAACCAACACACTCAAAGCTCCAAAAAAGGGTCTCCGAAACATCTTCCGCATCGGGTCGTGCCTGCTCGCATTTGCACTGAATCTACAATCAAGTCTTCCGTCTCTGGATCCGCTTTCCTACACGTCAACAATTTGCCCTGAGAACCCTTTCTGCGGTTTTGATTTCGATTTCGCCTGGTACTTGGACGTATACTGTCCCATCTTTTCATACATGTCCTGGGCCTTTTTCTAATGAATGGCTAATTTGCTGAATGACAACCAGATTGTGTTGTGGAGTGGTTGCAAGACAAAATTGACTGTTGGTGAATCGGTTGAAGTACAATCAAAGTGGTTTAATTTATGGAGGGCGGAGCAAGTTGGTTGCAGTGTGTAGGGGGAATTCGCATCAATACAGTTGGCACAGTTGTAAAATTTTAGCTCGGTTGAAGAATCAAGTTTACAACTAGGTTGCAGTGTGTATTGGCTGCACCTGCTCCACCTACTTGACAGAAGTCGGTTTCGAAATTGGCATCATGGATTTTTTTTTGCAGATCACAGGTTGTAGCCGTTTGGGGGCTCAGTGGTCTGCGCCTGCTCTGTCCAATAGCTCTGCTACTTGAACGCCAGAAGAAACAACCAATGACTGGGATTAATAGATAAATAAATAAATAGAAACAACCAATGGTGGTTAAAAAGGCACTGCTAACACATTTGAATAGGGATCTATTTGGGTAACACGTTAATATAATGGTTGTGTGAACTTACCTATGAAAATCTGGGCTTACTTGTGTTGCTACATCATCGCTTGACTAGGGGTGCTTGTCATTGCCTCGGACCAACTTTTTCGTCAGAATCGGTTCCTCTCATGGTGGGATTCTCATCACTGAATCCGGAGATGTCAGAAGGAACTAGGTATTCTGTTTCAATATCCCAGTCAGAGTCGCTGCTAGTCTCAAATTCCGACTCCAATTTTCTTGGGTTTTGGTATTCTGTACTTGAATGTCGTAGATGTGCCCGTAGTAGTTGAGCCTTGATATTCTTAACTTCAGAGTTGGTTGGAAATGCTATCTAACATGAAGCTTTAGTGTGATAATTTATTAGCTAGAGAATGGTCTTAGAAGACTGTAGGTAGATAGTTCCGTTAGAGTACGGCAGTATGAAAATTGACTAGAAGTTGAAAATGAGCGAAGGGCCATTAATGCGACAGTACAAAGACAAACGCACACTTCTTTGTCTAACCCGTACGAATTACGCGGAGATTTGAAGTATGTCTAAACAAAATAAAGTAATAAATAAATAAAATCTACAGGCAAAAAATTGTCGCCCGCCTTTGCTCATATACTGTCTGCGGCTGTGGAATAGTTCTAGCGACGATTCATCACTACCTAAAGCCCCACGCTGCCTTATCTTGTTATCTATTGTACATCTACTCAGCCACTCGGGGGGCAATCTGGCCACTACTACTACTCTCTTGTGGACGCTCTTCGTGATGATTGTTCCAGAACGTGAGTGAATCATGGTCTTCCAATTTTCTTCTTCTCCTAGAATGCATATCCCAAAGGGCTTTCCTGATAATCTGTTATGATGGTTCTGTTTTTATGAAAATAAAATAATCCTATCCCTCTAGCATGGCAATACGATGATCCAGCGTGCAGATAGTTTATATCGTTGTATTCTTCAAAGCTTCATCGTCTTTATCTAAAGAAAGGAAAATCGCCACTCGATTAAACCAAATTAAAAGGTAGTGATTCCAACAGTTTTAAACCAATACATTTTTTTTTTTAGTTTTTGCACCCATTAGACTCAATTATTTAGAAAAAAATAAGTCGTATTTAAATCATATTTCTTAACTACATAATTATTTAATTTTTGGTCCGCTATATCACAACTGGCAAAAATTGTAAAGAAAGCCCTGGGACCTGGTTGCAGTTAAGCAATCCCCAAGATTATGCCAATGCCCAGGGAAATTGACATCAAGGAAAATCTTTGTTATTGTTATTGTTATTGCTCAGTTCACACCCTGGCAGGTTGCTGTCTACCGATCTGCACTTAAGCCAGGCATGAACCTACGGAAATTTAGTCTTGGCCTATGCTAGACTGTATAGCATAACGACTTTCCTTTCACTAGCAGGCTTTTTGGTCCCACTAGCGTCCGATTAGGGGATAGTAAGAGATTAAAAGAATAAAGAAGAGAAATAGAGGATTTTGTTGTCTTGCTGAAAAAAAAAAAAAAAAAAAACGCGCCGGCTTGTTGTGCAATATCAGGTTTGTTCGCTTTCATTCCGTTCCAAGGGGCAACTTCCATCGTCGTCGTACTCAAATACCTGGGAACCTCCAGAGGTGCACAGGGCCAACGTGAAAGACTTCCATTCTGGGTAGGTGCTTGACCTGGGCCCAGGTCAAATTCCTATCGGTTTGCTTAATTTCCTTGTTGACGCTCCGCCACCTTAGTATTTGCCTTTGCTGCGATGTTTTGGCGGATTTAATTCATAATCAAGCGCTTGCCTGCAGAGACTTAATTTCTATTGCTATCGGCTTCTGATGACATTTACATCTGAGATCCATTTGTGAGGCCACCAGCCACAAGTTATATACCGCAGGCAGCGGTTGATGAGACCTGCAGCTTTTGAGTGTTCTCCACTGGTGCTGCACAGATTCCACGTTTTAATCGAAGTTTCGAATTTTGGTACGTTGACCAATCTGATTTGATCTCCGCTTTTGTGTAAATGTCATATTATCACCGACCTTATTACCATCACCTTAGTGTGTGATATCTGGTGTACGCTCCTCTGTGTTTTCGTTACCAATGCAGTTAATTTGACACGTTTGTTGCATTCCCGTATGTCTCAATATTATTCTTGCTGAACCACCGTCAAACCCACTATCCAGAGGCAGCGAACCACCTCAACACCTGAAATTATACAGAAACAAATTAAACATTAGCACCAACACCCCCCCCCCCCCCCCCCCCTTCCTCGATTGCAACAGCTCCAAGCCATGCAACAGGATCATTTCGTGCCCCATGACAACTTGATCCAGTTGCTTCCAGGTTCATTGTTTTGGCGCCAGCCGGGAGAGACTTGGTCTTGTACCAAATGCTTTCCTTGTCTCCATTCCGCTCAGCTACTCGCAATTGATTGTGATATTAGTGGGCGGAATATTACAATGTGAGACAATTCAATGCAGACGTCTTCCAAATTTGGCCGATCGTCAGGTAATCAGTGGGTTACCACCTGGCACCTCTTAGCAAGCACTATGCTATGAAGCGGACCGGAAGTTTCAATGAACAACCTCCCCCAAATTGACATCAAGGAAAATCTTCCAACTAAAAGCAAATGTCTTCGAACTTATGACTTTTTGATATGATTTCGTCGGCACACTCCTTAACGGACGAGTAATCCTCCAATTCCACCCTGATTATTATCCGCAGTAGACTTTTACGCTTCATGGCATAGTCTTGAAATACCGTTTTCTTTTTTTTTTTTCAAGCTTCCTCTGCTGTTTTAAGGCTATAGGTATACAGTTTGATACTGAGACATGACCAATGTTCTTTCCGACAAATGTGCATCGACTTGGAAATTTTCTGCGGGATCCACAGTAAACAACGTACCTTCACGGATCATCACCATGTCTATCGCGAACATCCATGTAACATAATTCTCATGCGCTATGTTTTTGTTTACATATAAAGATAAATAAAGATAAATCAATCAATCAATACATTGGTTTTGGAACTATGAATACTGGAATGAACCGCACCAATCGTGAGCTCTCTTTGTGCTATTTCTGAGCTCTCCTACCCATATTGCGCGTCTTTCTGGTCTCTTGCTCTCGAAAAAATCTAGTGCAGGATACTTTATAACGCACAGCACTATCCTTTTTTGAGCTGTGCGCGTGCATCAAAACAATCCCTGCATGTACCTAAAACTATTTAGGGGTAAATATGTTAAGCACCTTATTCGATCATTTGTCCTATCACGCGAAAAGGTTGATTGATTGATTTCTTTATTATAGAGACTTTCAAAACACGCGAAAAGGGATGTCATCCAACAATACTTACACGAACATCACCTAGTTGATGTACCTGCACTTTCTGTGCTGGATTTAGTAGTACACAATTGTTAAAACTCTCCCATCCAGATTTCAAACATTACAATCCAAGTCTTCCGACGTACCTTCCATCGTCAGCATCTTAGCATCCCGTCTCATGTCCGCATTTTTGTGCGACTTCTTGTGGATCACAAGGTTGTAGCTCTTACAGAACCTCTTATCACACAAATCACACTTGAACGGTTTCTCTCCGGTGTGCGTCCTTGTGTGAATCCTGTAGTCACAGCTTTACGATGCGGAAGGAAAATTTGATTTCAAGATCTTTCGGTACACGAACCAGCCATTTTCGAACTCACCTTCTTTTGAACGTTTTCAAGCAATATTCACATGAGTACGGTCGAACGGTTGTGTGATTCATTTTGTAGTGATAGGCACGATTCGATGCACGGGCGAATTTCTCGCCACATATTTTGCATTCATATCTAAAACAAAATTTTATTTCAAATTAAATTGAACAATAGTCCCCATGTTGGATAGAATACTCACCGCTTGATATCAGTGTGTTCTGCAAGGAAATGTTGTTTCAACGTTGCGGATCTGTAAAAAGTCTTCCCACACCTGTCGCAAGTATGCTCGACATGTCCCTCGTGAACGATTGTTATGTGCTGTCTCAACTTTCGATGTTCAGTATACTTTTTCGGACATTGGGTACACGAAAACATGGGACGATCTTGATCATGAATCAACTGATGCTTAGGCAAGTGACGCTGAGTAACGAACGCACCACAGGTCTGACATTGCACTTTCTGAGTACCAGATACTTTTACTTTTTTCTTGTACTTTTTACGAGGCTTTCGAGGCTTTTCTTGCTCAATCAACACCTGTTCCTGTTCGAGTATGTCAACCTCTGGTTCCAATTGCTTGACCATTGCACCGCTTTCTGGTTCACTGCTTTGAGATTCATCTTCAAGCTTACACTGAACGAGTACTGCCTCCGGATCGTTTGGTTCAAGTTTTACTAATTCCGACGAGACGGTAAGCTTGGCGTACATTTTGCGATATGTGTCGTCATTTTGAAGACACGCTGTACGGAATTGTATGAACTGATCGAGCATGGTGTGACACTGGTCGCACATAAATACCCGACGTGTGGGATCTACTATCACCTATATGAAAAAAAAAATCGGATTTAAAATGGTGAAATTGATCCAAGAAAAGAAGGCATTTACCTCAATAGTGGTAATTTGAAGGATTGATTCGATTATCTTTTCATCATGGTTGAGAACAAACACTGATCTCGGATCTACCAGCTCCAAGCAAAGTCTGCATATCTGCGGTTCTAGGTCCATCTATACGTTAGTATTGCGATCATTGAACGAAACGAAAACTAAATACTCAATGTACACTTTGTGAGCTAAAATCATATTAAGTCTAAACTGCCGCTATTCGCATAACAGTTCCATGTAGATAGGATATCAATAGGTCATGGGGATTTCATGAGAATTGCAGCTTTAAAATAGAACATGAAAAAAATACATATATACCAAAACGGCGTCATACTACGGTTCATCAGTTACGAAAATTGCAGAACGTAAACATGAAAACTTTGTTTCCGTGCTTTATGTTGCTATTGCTAGTACGGTAGTTTTTGTACCTCACAGTTATCAGGGAACGGTTGCCTGGAAAACTATGTGTGGCTATTGTTAACTAGTTTTACGCGAAATTAAAGCAGAAAATTCCATTCAATTTCAAAAAAAAATAATCTACATCAGCGTAAACGTAAACAAAACTATCGTCTTTAAGCAAACGTCAAATTCGATCGGTATTAGAATGATGGGATTGCGCTCGGAGATATAAAACGTTAGACATAAAAAGGCATTCCTTACATCTACAACACGGAAATAAAAACAACCCAAAATTAAGTTCATTTCACTCATCCATGCGATTACGTAAATTTGAGCAAACTTCTTAGAGTAAACCTCGGAGTAAACTCAAAAATGATGCAAGTTTTAAATAGGGTATTTTCCATGCAAGCTTTCCCGCATAAACACGAACCATAACTTTACCTTACCAAAAATGGTTATACATTATTTATAATCCCTGGTAAACTTTATCTTCCCGGATACGAATTGTGTTCATTTGAAAAGAAAAATATAAATGTTTATGTAGATAAGAATTATTTAAAGTAAATTGAAAGCATGTTTAAAACAAAAATATGTATGTTTGAATTAAATTCAAAAGCAGGTTAAAAAATACAGGATATGATAAACGATTTTTAGCGTGTCAGGTCTTTTTATTTCCTTCTTGTTACAAAAAGTTGCCCCAGCTTTGCTCAACTCAACAGAAAACGGCCCGAAAGTGGTAAAACCGAAGATGGATTTGGAAACCAGCTCGACGAACCCGGCGGAACCCCACAGTATCAACTTCACTCCGTGGTTTCTGACGCCGATCCCTATATCATCCTCCTCCACACGTGACTTCGAAAGAACAACGAAAATCCGAAATGGATTCTGAATCCATTCCGGATCCTCGTCCGACACCGAATGTAGAAAATGGCAGAGACGACAAAACGACGCCAATATCACAAAATTTTCACCGGTTCCACTGAACTGAAACCCGCATCCCGGACCAGGACCCTAATACCCACAGGCCACCCTTAATCGCTCCCGAAAAAGAGTAGGAATTTAGATGCCCTGCTCGTAGATCTTTTTTTTTTATTTCTTTGAAATCCGTTTTATTTTGCTTTACTCTGCACTCAACTAATAAATTAATTCCAATATATGAATATTTATATTAAACATGAGAAGCATGTTTCAAATAAACATATTTATTTTAAACATGAGAAGCATGTTTAAAATAAACAGTTTTATTTTTGTTCGCATAGCTGTCAAACCAAACAAATACGTTTGTTTTCAACACGATGTTTTTTTTAAATAAACGTAAAACTATATTTATTTTAAACTTTGATTTCACATAACTTCAAACAAGGAATTCGTTTAAAATCAATATAATTTATTTTCGTGGCCATAACAAATTAAGTTAATGTTTAAATTTAGGGGCTGTTCATAAACTACGTAGACAGTTTTTTTTACTCTTGAACACCCCCCCCCCCCCTCCTCCCCCTACGTAGACAATTGTCCTTACAAATTTTTAAAATAACTGCCAACTAATAACTGATTAACTGATTAACTGATAACTGCCAACCCCCCCCATAAACTGTCTTCGTAGTTTATGAACAGACCCTTGCCTCAAATATTTTTGTTTCAACTATTGTTTTTTTTTTCTTGTGTAAACTAATAATTACCAATTCGCGATATATTCCATGGAATATGAACTGAACTGAAACTGAAACGAAATGAATTGAAACAAATAGAAATTTCGTATTAAATAATAACAAAACATTTTATTGGTTACGCCTCAGTCTTTTTTTCTGCGTGCACGTAAAGTTGACCGAAAATAGAGATTAGCGACGTTTAACGCACGCACACGGATGTACCGCCATGTAAAGGTGTTTATTATTTTCCTCTGGCTAACATAAAAAATGTATGAAATTAAATCTGCCAAAATGAGTCTAGTTTTCACTGGAAATTTTATGTATGAGTGCTCATTGCAAGACAGCCTATATTACATGATATAAGCCATAGTCTGTACGGGGTATAACAGCGATTTGTTATGTATTTTCCTCTGATTTTCACTAACACGTTCTCACAAAACCATCCTTACTGACTACCATAACCATTACCATCAAAATTCTGAAATCATAAGTAAAAAGGTTCTAATCTCGGTTCTAATATAGTTTTCTTTCCGAAAATGTATGGAGAAAACAAGAATTTTGAATGGTAATGGTTCTTAAGAACCCATTATTTTTAATGTTCACTTTCAAAAAACCACAATACATAAGGTTAATACCAATTAATACCTCGCATTTATGCGGGTGATCAATCTGATTCGTTGTTCTCAAAGTTGTCCTTGCTCACTTTCTACTTTCTATATACGATTTTATCACTGCCGTATTCCAACGGAACTATCAACTCTATACTTTCATCTCTTCATCTATCGTATAAAATGACCACTGTTATCTGACGCTTAACATCTTCAACTATGAATCAAATTCATTAGTTTGGCCGAGGTAGTGGCCCAATCAGTGAATTTCGACTGTATCCAGCATTTTACGATCGCTTATGGCCGCCACAATATGGCTGAGTTTCTGGTAGGGAACATAAGATTTGAAGTTTTACTGGTGTCGTTTGACGTGTAAACGATCAAATTTGAACGTTTACCAGTCAAACTACACAATTCAAACGTCAAATCATTGTTCCCTACCAAAAACTCAACCAGATTGTGGCGGCCATAAGCGCTCGTAAAATGCTGGATTGATTGTTACACGGCCACTGAGAATAACTCAGAGAGAGAGAGAGAGAGAGACAGTAACATCAACATCAACTCAACTGTACACTAATAAAATTCCACACATTCGAAATTCCACATGATTTTCAGAATCCACCCAGAAGCACACATGAAATTTATGAGTCAAATGAATAGTATGTGTAGCACAGACAAACAGACATAACACATTGAATATTTCTCATTGTAAAACTTCGTCGCTAAAACATTACCGCCATCTGTTTAGTACACTGTGGTGGGTAGTACGCTGAACAGATGGCGGTAGTGTTTAAACGTCAATCGCAAGAGAATTTACTATGCGCGCCACAGGTGGCAGTACTACCAACTGAGATACTTTCAAATTGACCGTTAAATGCTTGTTCGAAGAACAACTTATGAGTGTTATATCTGTTTGTCTGTGTGTGTAGTTTTAACATGGCCTTTATGTGTACACTTATTAAGTGTGTGTCCGACACATAAATATCATTCAATATCGTGAGCGTAATTTGGTTCGCGTGTAAAGGGCCTTAAAAAATTTGTTTACAAAAGCTTTTGTGCCGTTATCAATTGTTATGCTCGAATTTGTTGATCAGGTGGGTAGTTTTGAAATTGGCGTCTTGCAGTGAAACTTTTCCAAGCTTTCGCCATCTACATTTCGAAGTGAAAACTACTAGAAGGAGGATACTTTCCAAATTCTCCAAGTAAAACAAATGTTTTTGGGGCAAATCGGTTCATAAAGAAAAACAAATAATTTCCCATGGAAACTTTTGCTTGAATCGTGTAAGAAAGCGTGTTTACAAACTAACTGTTATTATTTCGGTATGGATAGGAGATGTTTTCATGGAAAATTATGCATAGCAAGTTTGCAATTTTTCGGAAAATGGTAAATATGTACGATTTCAACTAAGATGAAAGTGGAAATTAAGTGAATTTACTTAGGAAAGATTGTATCATGCTGGTGATAATGGAGAAATGGTTGTATGGGACGCCAATATTCAATAAATGTTCATTTTGGCCTTTTTAGGCAAACATATTGATACTCACAATTTTCGACGGAAAACGCAACGGTACTTGATTTACTCAACACACACCATGCTATAAAATGGTGCTAGATGGTTTTCAAAGTGTTTACATTATACTTACGATGCAGCGTTGATGACACCGTGAAATGAAATGAATATATTTTATGAAAGTTCATCTGGAAAAGTCAAAGATACACATCAGTCTGATCGTGAAAACGTTTTCTTCTTCACTTCGATAACATTGGAAGGATTTTACCATAGAGGTAACTCTAATACCAGAAGGACCTGAAGAAACGAGCTAAATTTGTTGGCTCAGCTCTGGTACAATCTTCGGTCCCAAGCTAATCGATTCACCCCTCGAAACATAGGAAAATCCACTAACCCCTCATTTTATCTGTCAAACTTTCATAGCTATTCAAAACAAACATAGTGTAGTACTGGAATTTATACTAGAATGGGATACGTTAATCGATTTGCTTGGGACCAATAGGCTAGTCAAGTAGTGAGCCAATTTAAAATCGTTAGTTTCGTATTGATTGTTGATTTTACGCAGGCTTGATGAAAATTAGGATTTAATTTAATTTTCACGAATTTTATATGCAGTCCGTCAACATTATCATCATCATGCACTGGCGACATCTACATTGAGCTTTTACGGCAATCTTCCAATAGCGTGCACAGATCTCTTTCAGCCTCTACTGTAGCTCCGTCTTCGTCATCTCCGTACGGATGCAAAACCGTAGGGCATGAGATCTCACTAAAACAGTAAACAAATGAACGTCGGTTTGTTTCGCTTCCAAAGAACAGCGACTCGCTCTAGTGTTTTACTTGTATCTTGCATTATTATTAAGTAGTTCTTTTGTTACTAAAACATTATTTTTCATTAACATAAATAGAGCTTCCTGCCAACGAAATAATATGTCCGCACGTGACGGTGCATCGAAAAAGATGGGTCGTCCATCGGTCAACATTGCGATCAACCCGAGTGCCAACCTTCCCGTTGGATCGGCGACTGCAGCCGGAGCAAGCGGCACACTGAATGGTCTGGAGGGAGCTACCGGTGATTATGTGCCGGTATTTTTCGACGAAATCTCGCAAATTATGCGTGGATATGGGGACTGTGAGAAACCATTGCGAGAATCGGTTATTCTGGTGGAGAAAATTGTCCTGCATCAGTTGAGAGGAATTATGCAGGAAGCAATCGATCATGCCATGTCCAGGCAGAACTCGCCGGTACTGTCGAGGAGGGATTTCGAGTATATAATGAGAAAGAACCCTGTGAGAGTTGCAAGGCTGCAGAAGTATTTCAGGGATATGGCTTTCGTGAAAAAGAAGATGAAGGATTTGTATGGAGATAGGTTCTCAGCCCTTGGGGATTTGGGATCGAATTTGGACGAGTCGGATGAGGATTCTGATCGGGACGTGTCGGAGAAGTTTGATGAGGAGAAGGTGAGGAGGCTGTTTCGTGCGGATCGGATCTCACAGATACTGGCCGGGAAGCAGTACGAGGAGTTTAATTTGGCACGGAGGACGTCGTTTATGCACCGGAATACGAATACCATGAAGAATCGGATGCGATCGTGGTTGAATTTTCCGGAGGATGTGATCATTTCGCAAAGTTGTCTACTGACGCTGTCGTATTTGGCACATGAGACGATTGCGGTCCTGGTGGATTTCTGTATTTTGACTAGATTAAATTCGTCGAACCGGGCAGTGGAACCGTACAGCCGTGTCACGTCGTCAGGTTAGCAAAAGTCAAATTCAGAAGGGGAACTTGATTGTACTGACATTTTTCCTTGCAGGAACATCTCACTCTATGCTACATCTCTGCCCTGAAGTGACACATGGACGGGGAGTCGATGGTGTGAAACCCATCACGCCACAGGAAATTCACGAAGCAATGCGACGGCATCGACAGATGGCTACGCAAAACATGGGACACTTCCGAAATAATGCTCTCAATTGTAAGACGCCCTATTTGGCGATGTAGTTCAACGCTAACATATTCAACACAATATTGTTCCTCAAGGAAACCATTCTATTGATTCGACAGTAGAAAGTAATTCATTGCAATAAAAAAATAACATCAAAGAATTTCAATGATTTCCTCCTCGTTTGGAACGAAAAGAACGTCCTCGTCGTCTTCGTTCACATTATCGTCTGCCTTCTCCAATGTTCGATTCGGCTCTTCCTTATAAGCACCGGTGCTGGTTTTTTTCGTGCGCTTAGAGACGTCCGAATCGTCCAGTTGACTTCCATTTAAACTTCCGACGGAATCAGTCTTCTTCCGTTTGCTTGTTGACTTTCGACTGACTCCACTCGTAATCGTACTGTTCATGGCAGCCTGATGTGTGTCGCTTTTTGTGTATAAGGTATCTTCCCGGTCGGTGCTGCTGTTGTTCGTGGATTTCCGTTTTGGAGTGCTGCTGATAATGGAGCTTCTATTGCTGAGCAAGCTTGCACTTGAGGAAACAGATATTAATTCGGAGTCATTGTACACTGACGATGAACCGTTCTTATGCACCGACATGTTGACGGTATTGTTTTTCATAATCGATTTGAGGGAATCCTTTGGAATATTAAGTACCCGCGCTCCTTGGAAGCGGATACCTTCATTTCCGGGCACAACCGGCCCCTTCTTTATATAACTATTTGTCGTGAAAGCATTGATTTGAAAGTCCTCTTTCAGGTAACCGTTCACGATTAAAAAGGCCACGACCTGCTCACCGATATATCGATCCATCAGAGGGGGAGGAGTTTCGAGACGATTCTTTGGAGTGCCTTTGTGATACCAGGCATCGATCAGCCTCAGAGCGGTTAGCTTGGTTTGCAGCGTGTCCGCTCTTCGAATGATGGCCAGCAGCGTTTGATAATGATTGGTGATGTCCTGTCCTGGAAGTTGCACCCTATCCCGGTAGTAACACCGATCGCACAGCTTATCGCAGTGCGTTTCATCCCACACTTCAGCGAAATGGCGAGAGATGAGCGTCCGACGACAACTGAAATTAGAATTCACATAAAAATTAGTAACTGTAAATTCAAAATTCACCTAGAAACTTACTCTTTTCCATTGATGCAGTACTTGACCATCGAGTACAAATTGTCCAAACCGCCGTGCTCAGCAAACGAAACCGTCGAAATGCGGAACACATCCGCAAACCGGTATAGCAAAATACAATCCGCCCGTTTCCCGTCCCGTCCAGCCCTACCACTCTCCTGGTAGTAGTTCTCCATGGTCTTGCTTAAGGTGTGGTGAATTACAAATCGCACATCCGGCTTGTCAATTCCCATCCCGAAGGCTGTCGTTGCCACCACAGCTTGAATTTCGTTATCGATCCACTTTTGGTGGGTTTTGCTACGTTGCTTCGGATCCATGTTTTGCCCATAGTAAGGCATCACTTTCACTTCCCGCTGCAGCAACGATGTCGAGATTTCCTGTGTTTCCTTGATCGAGAAAGTGTAGATGATGCCACTCATTCGGTTGTACTTCTCCTTGAGTAGATTCGCCAGCCAATCGTACATGTCCTCCTTTTCGTTGTGCTTCTCCTTAACGTGATAGTACAGGTTGGGCCTATTGAAGGGGGCATTCAGGATCAGAGAATCGCTCAGCTGCAGCATCTTCTGTACATGGGAAATCACTTTTGTCGTGGCAGTTGCTGTAACACCCAACATAGGAACCTCCGGGAAGAGCGTCTTAAAGATTCCCAGTTCTTTGTAATCCGAACGGAAGTCGTGACCCCACTGGGAGCAGCAATGAACCTCATCTAAAATGAAGAAATCATCAGAAACAACCATCAATATCGAGCAGACAGAAACAACATACCAATAGCAATTAATGCTAGCTTTTTTGCGTTGTAACACTTTTGCAGAGCCGTCTTGAATCGGGCACTCCTATTGATTCGCTCCGGAGTTACAAATAGCAGCTTCAGGCATTCATCGTTGCCATCTCTCAACATTTTCTGCACTGAAGTGACCAAATCCTTATCAGTGGATCCGCAGAGGTATTCCGCTTTGACACCCAGCTTCTTCAATGCCCACACCTGATCCTCCATCAGCGAAATCAACGGCGACACGACCAGCGTAATTCCATTGAGAACTAGTGCCGGCAGCTGATAACACAAACTTTTGCCTCCTCCCGTTGGGGCCAGCAGCAGAACGTTATTTTTCGCCAGCACCGCATTGATCGCGGCCAGCTGTTGCGCCCGGAAGGTGGTCATATGGAACACATCTTTTAGAATTCGACGAACTTCACCGGACCATTTGAATTCCTCCGAGTCCCAGTCTTTCTTGGCAATAATGTTCGATTTTTCCTGCTGTTTCTGGATCTGCAGCTTTTCCTTTAATTCCACAAGCTTTTTCCTACGAGCGTTCAACCGCGCCAGCTCCTCGTGAATCTCACCCAACTCACGGCTCACCGCCCGGAGACGAGTGTCGAAGTCTAATTCAGCGGAAGGTTCCGTTTCCCCGTCCGAAGCCATTTCTCCGAAGGATAACTCAGTAAACGTTCATTACTTTGTAAAATCTTCTTTTTATCAACCAATAAAACAAATTGAATTTTTTTTTCTACCTTGGTCATATGTATAGTTATATGACTGGCAGGTTCTCGTTTTGTTAGCAATAAATTACAAATTACAAAATACTGAATTAGATGAAATAATAAGACTGCCGACACGCGCGCGATAAAAAATCAAAACCAGGATCAAAACAAACGATTCGCCATCAGTTGGGAGAGAGGACGGAGTGAAAGCTGGCCGCAGGCGCTGAATGCACTCTAGTACCACACAAGTAAACTGTCTTATTGGTATAAATGCTAATTGGCATAATAAATACGTATGACAGACATGATTGTACACTCAAAAGATTTTCAAATATAAATATAGTAGAATAAACCATACTATCAACAATACTATTCATTTGACTCATAAATTTCATGTGTGCTTCTGGGCGGATTAAGTTTATGTGTGGTCACAAGAAAATCATGTGGAATTTCAAATGGATATTCGTCAATAAAAATGTTTAGAATTTTATTAGTGTAGGAAAATCTACATACCTCATCTTATCTGTCAAAATTTCATAGCGAATCAAATCAAACATAGTGTAGCACTAGAATTTCAACTAGAATGGTGTACGCTAATAAATGATGCCAATTTAAATTCGTTAGTTTCCACCGGTTGGTATCATGTGATGTTTCCTGCATTACAATTTCTATTCGGGATGCCAACGGAAAATTGCTTGAAAGTTTTCTACAGGGTAAATGTTGGTTTGTTTAACTACATGTTTCTACAACGTATTGAAAACCCAGCTGAGTCATATAAAGTGTGCTGTTAGTTTGGTTTCAAGGAGTGAAGGGGTTTTTGCTTTAAATCTTGATTGTAAAATATAGAAGGAAGTAAATGGGATCGAAAAGATTGTGGAAAAGATAGGTTGATTGGTATGAGATAACAATACCATAGAGGTAACAATACTTCGCAATGGATAAGAAGAGAAGTTACTTTTGTGGCTTCTCAATGCTTGGCTTCCGATTCACAGTTCACGTTGGCTCCCAGTTGACAAGCACAAAGACCTGCTTTTTTAATAGTGAAAACGCGCTTATTAGTCCAGTTTGGTGTGAAATGCGCAATACATTTCAATACTTTTAATAGCATTAAGTACGGATAGTTAATTTTAATTACCGCCAGTACTACTTCAAAACGCATTAATTACTGTAAGTACATTTGATTGCATTTAAACATTAACGCATCTGGTTTTTGTATTGAGTGCCACTCGATGTTTTCACCAATTTTATGATGTCAACACTCCCGGAGCATTTTCACCCATTAATGCTCGCATTAATGGGTGTTTTGCAAACACCGTTTATATCAAACACGGTGGTTTTTGCACGGTCACTGAGAATAACTCAGAGAGTGAATCACTTCTATTCAGAGATATGGAGAAATTTACAAAAACTGCAGGAATTGTACATTCTATAGCCTAGTATACAGATCGAAGCGAAACAAAAATTGAAGCACGCGAAAAATCATGAAATTTCGCTAGCGAAAAAGGTTGTGAAAAAATGTTTGTGGAACATTTTCCAGTTTCCTTTTTTCGCAGTTTACAGTTCATGTGAAACGAAATCGATCAGTTTACACCTCCGGTGAAGTGAAAATTTGACAGATACGCTCTCCCGAAACGTCAACTTTTCGCTTAGCTGCTGCTCTTTTCGCGAGCGCTGCATGCGCGAAAAAAAAAATAAACGTAAACGAAAAAGATACGATCCACAAAATTAGATTTCGCTGGATCGTACCTGTTTACAGTTCAAAGCGAAGCGAAATATTTGCCAATTGCGTTTTTCGCGCAGGTGAAAAATGTAGTATTTTGTATGAGATTTTCGCTTCGCTTAGATCTCTATACAGGTCTTATGTGCGCGAGTATTGATGGTCCGAAAGTGGATAACAAAAACAAACCAACATTTTTGGCCGGAGCGAAAGTGAGGATAACAAAGTTCGCACTTGAACATGGGATAACGAAAGTGTGTGGGTTGTAAACGTAAGAAAGCTCAATATAAGTTACGGTATGAAACAAGTTCCCTAAAGTAATACCAACAATTAATACGAAACAAACGATTTTAAATTGGCTCACTGCTTGACTAGTCTATTGGTTCCAAGCAAATCAATTAACGTATCCCATTGTAATCGAAATTCTACTACTACACAATGTTTGTTTTGATTCGCTATGAAAGTTTGACAGATAAAATGAGGGGTTATTGGTTTTTCCTATGTTTCGAGGGGTGAATCGATTAGCTTGGGACCGAAGAGAGTACCAGAGTTGAGCCAAAAAGTTGAGCACGTTATTTCGGGACCTTCTAATCTTAGAGTTACCTCTATGGTAAAACGCTGTACAGACGCGGTTGTCAAATAATTGCAACACAGAAACCAGCATCAAGATAGCGCTATAACATGTTATAACCATAGAGGTAACTCTAAGATCACTGGGTCCCGAAGAAAATCATTATTATTTTTGGCTCACTCAGTACCAGAACACGAGGGGGACGACTCTATCTACGATGCAAAAAAGATTGTGTTTTGCTGTGGCTAGCTGCGCGCACGCTGAGTAGATAGAAAGAAGATTGATGACGATTCTGAAGATTTCCTGCAAAAAATTGATGAGCGATGCAAGTAGATGCGACAAATGAAAGAAGATTGTTCGAAGATTGATTCGCTAGTGTGAGATTTATTGACCATCTAAACTTGAGATTTAGATGTGTCGCCCCCCTCGCCAGAACAACGGTCCCAAGCAGTCCCAAGCTATTTCACTCACCCCTGCATGTTCTGCATGAATCCACACACCCCTGATGTTATCTGTCAAACATTCATAGCGAATCAAAACAGACATAGTGTAGTAATAGAATTTAAACTAGAATAGGGTACGTTAATCGTTTGCTTGGGACCAATAGGCTACTAAAGTGGTGAGCCAATTTAAAATCGTTAGTTTCGTATTGATTGTTGTTATAACTCTCAGTCTGAACAAGGCATAAGGGTATAAGCATGTAGAAGTGACTCTCACTTCGAGTTATTCTCAGTGGCCGTGAAGTTGAGCTTATTGAGTTGATCTAATCGCTGAACACTCTGTTGATAAAAAAAAAAAATCTTATAAGAAAAATCAAACTGTCAAATATGTTTACAAACAAAAAGTGTTCGGAACGTTTGGATAAATTTGGCAGTCTTTTGGCGACCGAACTAACAACTAGCTTATTGGCAAGATGGACCAACCATGGTCTTAGCCGTCATCAGACAACAGCAAACAAAAAAAAAAAACAACTAGCTTTTCGCGTTAAATTACTTGAAATTTTACCGTAGTTCGCTCAAGACTATAGAAACATGGAAATACAAAACTCTGATGTGTGCCGACTCTGCTTAGGGTCTATAAATCTCTGCGATGAGACGTTGCTGAACATCAATCACCATCTGATTAAGTCAATTTTTCACATCACTGGACTAGAAGTAATGATTTCCCTATGAACTAATGTTCCGTATTCTGCTGCTCTATTTGCTAATAATAATTATTGTCCCCTTTTCGAACCAGGTAGTATCAGATCCAAATCAATGGGAATATATTTGCAGCCGGTGCAAATCTTTATTGGAGCAGTGTGTTGAATTTCGTACGACTTGCATCAATAATGATGTCGTGTTCCGCAAAATGTTGACCAGTTCGAACCATGTTGAAGACAGTAAAGCAGAACAACAGACGCCAGTAGTTGAATTTGTCAAACTGGAACCAGAAAACCATGTTGCATCCTATGTGGACGAAACAGAACTTGATCCGGTTGATTCAGGAAAGCATGCTGACGATGTCAATGGAGCATTGGAAAATAATCATAAGTTGCCACAGAACGTCGATGAACTCCCTGTAACAAGGAAAAGAAAATCAAAGACAAACAACGACGATGGCACAAATCCTCCCAAACTTAAGAAAAAGTATCAACGGTCGCGCAAGGACGCCCGGAAGGTTCAATGTCAGCAGTGTGGCAATATGGTGGCACACTACAACCTGAAGAGTCACCAGGAGATACACAATCCCAATCGACGGAAACTGTGCTGCCCGCACTGTCCCAAAGAGTACACGCAGACCAAGCAGTTGAAGCAGCACATCAATGCGATTCACACGCACGAAATTCAGTACACCTGCGATCAATGTGGGAAATCATACCTCAGACGGAACTCACTGAACGAACACTATATGGCATCGCACACCGGCGAGAAACGGTAATATTGCCAAAGTTAGCTTCGTTATTTGAAATTAATTCAATTGAACTGTGCTCTCAGGTATGCATGCATGATTTGTGGGGAAAGATTTGCTAGAGCAGGGCTGCGGACTCATCATCAAAGAAAGGTTCATTCAACGGCTCGACCATTTGCTTGTGAATACTGCGATAAAGCTTTCAAGTTTAAGTATGTTCCTCCAAATCTGTAGGCTGGATATTTTCAACTAATGTACCTTATTGTAGGAGTGATTTGACTATTCACACCCGCACTCATACCGGAGAGAAGCCATTCAAGTGTGACATTTGCGGCAAAACCTTCAACAAAAGCTACAACGTTGTGATACATAAAAAATCTCATCAGAATGGCAGAAATCTTCCTACTGTCAATGCACCTTGCAGTTTTCCAGTCTAGCAGGTAAGGTGTTTATGTTAATAAACTAGCCTGTTGGTTTTTAAAAATACTGAATTTGCGATGCGATGACCCAACCTTTTTTTTAACAAATATTTTCTGAAGCATATCAATAATTGTGAGCGGTCTTTTCAAGTAAACGGCGCAAGTTCAAGCGGCCGTTACTCTACAGATGGAGGATTTTTGCCTCGCCTTCATATAGCCTTGCTTATAATTGACCTGATGGGAAGGGTAGGCAAAGATAAGCATAGGAATGGGAAAGGAAATGGAAACAAGCCACAGTGGGGTGAACGGTTTAGAAAAAAAGACACAAAAAAGCGTACTAATAAATCAGGCCAAAAGTTCTTTATATACGATTTTTGTCAGTTTTGAAATGGCCATGGTTTTGAACTTTTGGACATTTTGAGATATTTGTGGTTATATTTTTTTTGATTTTTTTTCTCAAAATAAATTAAAAGCAATTTTTTGCTTGTTTTTCCCAGGAAAATTTTAATTTTCTCTACAAATTTGTCTCCGACGTTACCTCGATCACAAATGCCGTTTGCGTGCTTAAATTTTTTGAAAAATTTCAAGGACGCCATTTTGAAAATTTTACAAAAATGTGAATCATTGCTCATAACAAACAATTACCCAAAATTTCATACAACTTGGAGAACGTCGTTTTTTGCCTGGAACTGCTCTATACGAACCCTAAGTCAATTCATTTGTTATGAACAATTAGGAATTTAAGGCTAAAGTACAGGATGCTCATTATGCCCCACTTGTTCTCTTTGTCCTTCCTTCCCTTAATAATGTTATAAATACTGTTATGTTCCATAGTTAACATAGATCTTCGCTCGTTGAAAAGAACTAAGAAGGCTGCTCTCAGAAGATTTACTAAACTCCGCACACTGCCGCTGAAATGCTACTATGTCAGACTCAACCACGAGTATAAGCGGTTAAGTCGTCTCTGTTTTCAACGCTGTCAAAGAATGATTCAACGGTGGCTAAAATCACACCCGAAATCCTTCTGGAACTTCGTAAACGAGCAACGCAGGGAAGTCGGCTTACCCTCTTCCATGATTTTTAATGGTGAAACTGCTGGCAACCTGTTCTCAGCTAAATTTGCCACGAAATTGCGATCGCTAGGCTTGACAGGCTAGGGAAATCTTTTGAGATGGTTTCGTTCATACCTCACGGAGCGCCAATTGACAGTAACTTTGGGTACTTGTCGCTCAGCAAGCTTCTGCGCTAAGTCCGGTATACCTCAAGGTAGCCATCTGAGACTATTGGTATTTATCCTTTACTTCGACGACGTTCACCATATTATCACAGAGCCACGATTATCGTTTGCAGACGATCTGAAAGTTTTCTGCGCATCCGCTCACTCGCCGACTGCCGTTCTCTCCAAAATCAGATTGACATCTTTGCTGACTGGTGTAGTCTAAACCGACTGGTCCATCTGGATAAGAACTCCACAACCGTGAAGGATCTCCAGACGACACGCACACTGTTCCACATCGTAGTGAAGTAGGAGCGGTATAAGCCCAAGGTCTGGAACAACAGGCAGCTTGCTAGTGTTAGCAGTAAAATATTGTAAACATTGCTGAGCAAGCGAATACCGATGTCACGGAAGCACAACATTCCATACTGCGATTAGCAGACGTGTCGTCACAGAAAACAGCTGTTTCGTGTAAAAAGCTAAACATTGCGATGAAATACGACCACTACTAGACATTTTCACATTTCACTAATACCAATAAGCCGGTAGGGCCAGACCTTGTATAATTGACATCGGTATAAGCCGACTCACCGTGGCGTCACTCAGTGCTCGAACTGCCTATTGTTCGGGCACGGCACCAGGAACTGCCGCATGGCCAGCCGCTGCATCAAATGCGGCAAAAACCACAAGATCTACGACTGCGACAGTATCAAGGAAGCCGCTCCCACATGCGCCAACTGCGGTGCCGCCCACAAGGCCACGAGTAAGGCCTGTCCGAAGCGGGCCGAATACGCCGAGATCCGGAAGAAGGCCTCGTCCAACAACCAGCCCGGTCGCAAGAAGGTTCGGGAAAAGAACGCGCAGAACTTTCCTCCGTTATCACCGGTCCAACCACGGCCAATTACAGTGTTGCCGCCGCTCCCGCTCAACCAACAGTTGGCTGCTGCCCAGTCGGCTGCTGCCCAGTCGGCTGCCGCTGCAGTACCCGGTCAAGCCTCCGGGCCATCGACGGATTCCACTTCTACGGGATTGGCCGGTACAACCGGCGAAGCTACAGACAATTCTCCGCTGTCAATGGATGAGATCGTCACACTGCTGGCCCAGGCCATCATCATCAAGCGCACCTGCGCTACAAGAACACAACAGCTCCAAGCTATCATCTCCTTCGTCGCTAATTATGGACCGTGAAGCCATAGAGATCGCCAACTGGAACGCTCGCTCCGTAGGGGCGAAAAACATTGAGCTTGCAGACTTCCTCCGCAAGCACGACATCGACGTGGGCCTTCTCACCGAGACCCACCTCAAGACCGGTGACAGTTTCTGGCTGCCCGACCACAGAATTGTCCGGCTTGATCGCACCAGGGCGGTGTCGCGGTCATCATCAAGAAAGGCATCAAGTACTGCACCCTACCCCACTACCGCACTTCCATCATCGAGGCCGTCGGCGTAGAGGTGGAAACATCGACCGGAAACGTCCGTTCTCAGCATGGTCTCTATTCCGTCTGGTTTCCGGACGAACCAACCTTCACATCACCGGCGGGCAACCCATGGACGCTGGACCTGTTCTTGGCAAACACCGGATTATCCAAGCCGGTTGCCGTCAACGACCTGAGTTCGGACCACCAGCCGGTGCTGACCGAGCTGGGCTCCCTTGCACCGTGCCTGCGGAAGGACTACAATCGAGTCAACTGGGTCCAGTTTCTGCGCGTGGTCGACCGCCACATCGACGACAACCCATCGCTCGACACAGTGGAGGACATCGACCGGGCCCTGGAGGGTCTCCATCAAGCCATATCCGTGACTGACGAAGAGTGCGTTCGACGAGTTCCTGTGAGGGGTAAGTTTCAAGCAATTGATTCCCACACCAAACTCTTGATTCGGCTCAGAAATGTTCGTAGACGCCAGTTTCAGTGGTCTGGGGATCTGCAGCGTAAATACGAAATGGTCGATCTGAATCGGCAGATCGCTTCCAGAATGGTCTCAATCCGGAACGAGAGTTTCGGGCGGCTCGTTCAGAACCTGGACAACCGTTCCAGACCATTCTGAAAGGTTGCCAAGGTGCTGAAGTCTCACCCCAAGCCCATTCCACCACTTAGAGTCAATGACGAAAGGCTTATCACCAACGAAGAGAAGGCCAATGCGATTGGGGAGCACATTGCCCAGTCGCATTTGCTTGGCTCCACAATCCCAAGTCCACTTGAGAACCAGGTTACGCAGTGCGTCCAGACGTTAGATGCCCCTCCTTGTGCCGTCCCTCCAGATGAACGGATTACAGAGGAACAAATTTGCTCAGCGCTGAAATATAGTAAGAACATGAAGGCTCCCGGGTTTGACGGAATATTCAACCTAGCGTTGAAAAATCTCAGCCCGAGGGTGCACTCGCTGCTGGCTGCCATCCTCAACAGATGCTTGAAGCTGCACTACTTTCCAAGCATCTGGAAGGTGGCAAAAATCATCCCGATCCGCAAACCTGGGAAAGACCCTTCACTACCGTCAAGCTACAGACCGATTAGCCTGCTCTCAGTGCTGACATTCTTCTTCCGGAACAGTTCGGGTTCCGTAAGGGGCATCCCACCAATCATCAGCTAGTGCGGGTGATGAATAACATCCGAAGTAACAAAGCTGTATCCAAGTCCACAGCCATGGCCTTGTTAGACTCCGGAAAGGCGTGTGACAATGTCTGGCACGACGGACTTATATACAAGCTTTGTAACTCCAACTTTCCACCATACCTTGTGAAAATCACCCGTAACTACCTCCAGCAAAGGTCGTTCAGGGTGTCGTTGAATAGTTCCCTTTCGGGACAATTTCCGATCCCAGCAGGTGTTCCGCAAGGGATTCTGCTGGGACCACTGCTTTACAGCATCTACACGTCGGACATCCCTCCTCTAGGAGACGGTTGCGTGTTCTTTCTGTTCGCAGATGACACCGCGATAGCCGTCAAGGGTAGGATGCCTCGTGAAATTACGAACAAGCTCCAACGATGCCTTGACACCTTTACTGATTATGCCACCACGTGGAAAATCAAAATCAACGCCTCGAAAACCCAAGCGATCATGTTCCTTCACAGACAATCGCCAAAAGTTAAACCGTCTCCCTCCTGTACCGTAATAATGGATGGTACAAGGGTTGAGTGGTCCGCTGATGTTACTTATCTCGGGATGTTGTTCGATGAGAAGGTCCTGTTCCGCTCGCACATAGAGAAAACCTTACACACAAGCCAAAAATCTATTACAATTAATGTTAGTTCCGTTTCCTATCATCCTCTGTTCATGAACATCGCAACGAATGTTAGAGATTGATAATGCAAGCGATGTAATGGTTTTTTGTCTTTTTTATTTCGTGTCTATCTACGCTTTTGGCTATACCAGTAAGCTTGTAGAACGACGCACATTGTAAAACATTGTAGAACGACACACACACTTGCCTCGAATCTCTCCAGCAGAAAAAGCATACGAAGTCGAGTATGCGAGAAAATTAGCACTTCATGTTTGCTTTTAGGCTATCCATATTCAGAAGCATGGAGAGAGCAGTAGAGAAAGCACAGGTCTGTTAATCGCAACGTTCGTGGTTCGAGTCCAGTCGGCAATCTGATTCCTATTTTTTTTCGACATAACTAATTTACCTCACTAATACACTCTACATTTTTCGGTCTCCAATTTTCTTGCATTGGACCGCAGCTAGGTATATCGCATCCTCGGTTCATGCGGTCTCCACTAACATCCTCTGATGATGAATCCCACATAATTTTAAGCGAATCTTACATCCCCCGGTTGGGTGTAGTTAAGTGCTCCGCCTTGGTTAG